CTTGCCTTTCTTAGAACCCAGCACAATTGACTGGGGAGGGTGAACTGAGGAGTACAGGCAATATACTCCTCAAAAGTTTCTTTTCAACCCCCCTGTTAGGAGTTAAGGTCCAATCCTCAGGTAACCCAGTCACCAAACATGGCTCCAAAGTCCCCAGGCAGGCAGTCTGTTCCTTCCAAGAGTCCTGGTGTGTGTGTGTGGGGGGCTGTTGGGGGCGCGGGGGAAGAGGTGGGAAGGAGGTGGGAGGTGGGAGCAGCGTCCTTTCACCCACAGTTGGCTCTTGCCGCCAGAGCGCAAAGTGCGGCCCCTCCCCTGCCTCTTCCTGGGGCAGTTTGATTTCCCGCCAGAGTCAGTGGAAGGGGCCAGGCAGTGGGGCTTCAAACTCGCGGGCCGGCCGTGGTGGGAGGATCTTGGCCTATCGGTTTTTCCCTGATGCGGTGCCCAACTGGCGGCGGGTCTCCAAGGCCCGTGGATCCGAAAGACCCTTGGGTCTGGTGTCTCTCCCTCCCCACCCCTCCCGCAACGGAGCAGGTTCCTTCTGGTCCCTAGATCCAGGACGTTAGAGCCAAGCTGGGCCATGCCGGGTGCTGGTGGCCGAGGCGCACAGAATACTCCGAAGGGCAATTTCAAAAACCGGTCGCTGACAGGTTGAGGGAGTTTGTTTTAGTGCCACATACCCGGGGAACAAAATCCTTTTGAAAGGAAAGCTAAGTCGTTTCACGCCACCCAAATGCAGATTTGGTGAAGAATGACGGCTGGGACAAAGCAGCGCGGTGCCTACGCGCGGGTTCCCAGCCAGAGGGGAGAACTGGGGCGAAGGTGGGAGGCGGCCTGGCAAGGTGGGGCGCGCTGGAGGAGACCCTAGAACCTGAAATCGATGCTGCGCCAGCCTCGACCTTCTCCCTCCCTCACCCTCCTAGCACATTGCACAGTCCATTTGGTAGAGAAGATGGGAAAAGTGGAGGGGAGGTGTGGGGGGGGAGTGATGCGAAGAAAAGTGAGGAACAAGGGTGCAGTAGGGAAGGGGACGGAAGGAGGAGAGGAGCAGAGACTCAGACCAGGTGGGGAGATGCTTCAGCGGAGGGAAGGCAGGACTTGACGGAGAAAGGAGGAGGAGAAGCGGGCAGAGGACGGCTTAGCCCGAGCGCTCCAGGCAGAGCAGAGTTCGCTTTCCAAGAGGGAAAGGCGGGTATTGTTTTTGGCGCCTAGGAAACCTTCGGAAGCTACTGGGTACTTTCCCTCCGCCCCAGGCCGCTGGTGTTTGGTAAATATTAACAAACCAGGGCGCGTTACTTTCTGGAGGGTGGATGGAGGGGCCGGCCCGGCGCGGGAAGGTTTCCTCTCCTGGAGCTTCCTCCCCCAGACGCCAGCCCCGCCGTTCGAGCGCGCGCGCACACACACCTGCTTGACAACAGAAGGAATCAAAATCAATATTGTATTTGTCACCTCTCTGTCTCCTTTTTACTCCCTCGGCAGCCCGGGTGCCACTGAAGCGAATTGTGGATTTATGGAGGGAAATTAGCATAAATTATTACGAAATCCGTAGCCGTGTGTGGTCCAGCTTGTGGGAAAAGAGGCTATTGCAAACTCTCCAAGCAGAAAGGTGGTCGGTGGTGGGCACAGCGGAGGCAATGAATGGCTATTGCGCGCGAGAGATTTCCATTTGGTTTGCACATGGGTATAATTGACTTATGTGTATTTTATACAGTTTTCCCAACAGCTCCCTAAGCCTCCGGGTCGGTGCCCCCTCCCCAAAGCTTCTGTTTGTTCTGGGTTCTGTACAATAGACTTTGATGCACTTTTCAAGATTTCTTAAAGTGCTCCTTCCCCCCTCTTCTTCATAATAGCAGTCTTAAAAGGCCGTAAATAGCATGCAAGCCCTCCCCTCCCCCCTTCCCCCTGGGCTTTGTAGATCTTCAGTAGGAACCAAGACACAAGACACACTTTGTAGCAAAGGGCCAGTTTTAAATGTGCGGCTCACAACTCCTCCAACTTGTGCTGGTAGGTTCGATTTCCTTCATTAACACTGGGCATAGGCAATGGGCTTCACCTCCCAACCCCACCCTGGCCAAACTCTGAAGATCCCTCAGGCACGGATTCCTACTTGTAACCTTGCATGTCCCAGACTTGGTGGGGACAACTTTCTTGGGGAGATAGACAAAGATTTATTCCAACTTGGCTTTTTTTTTTTTAACCCAAAGGTTTCCCCTCAGAATTTAGTTAATCTTCTATTTACTCCAAGCAATGATTTCGACAGCCATACAAAGGCCCTTTGCAAGGCAACAAAATGCCAATTGTTAAAACAAGAAAACATTTCTCTCCCCATCCCCCACCCTCAATGTGGTGTGTGTGTGTGTGTGTGTGTGTGTGTGAGAGAGAGAGAGAGAGAGAGAGAGAGAGAGAGAGAGAGAGAGAGCGCTCACAGATGGACACACACCCACCCACCGCTAGAGAAAATCTTCCTGGCTGTCACTGGGGAACAGAGATCTTTCACTCCTATCGTTCCATATCCCGAATCCATATCACTCAGTATTTTTCTATATTCTATATATCAGTATTCACATATTTACTAAGAGGACTCCGATCCTGGCACCACTCCTTCCCAGGAGCGCTCCTGCCTCGCCCACAGGAGTACCTTCTGTGTTGTAACTCTGAGACCAGCTGCCTTTGAAGAAGGAAAACTGTGGGCCAATGCCTTTCCATCTGGGAAACACAAGCCTCAGCACTCTCCTTGCCAGAGGTCCCTCGGGCTCTTGCACTCCCCAGCTCCTCCCATCCTCGGACCCTCAAGCCCAACGGGCCTAACCAAGTAACCCCCCAAAAGGCCGCACCTCCTAAGGAGCTGAAGCGCACAGCTCTGCCAAGCTGGGCGCCTCAAGCCAAAGCTCGCAGAGGT